CCAGAAACCTCCTAGATAAGATGCCTCCAAAGGAGTCCCGCGAGGCACAACTTGTTAATGATTTTCCAGAAAGGTTTTGGAAGGAGTTGCAAGTTCTTGCCTTTTCAGTGTTCTGACGCTCCACGACGACCCAAGATGTCATATTGTCCGCTCCAAGACAGCCCCAGGGGCTTCGAAGACGGCCCCAAGACGGCCCAAGAGGGCCCCAAGACGGCGCCAGAGGCGCACAGGACGGCCCGAAAGGGCCCTATGGAGCTCCTCCGAAGGTCCCAGTGGCACAGCCCGCATGCGTCCGCCACAACCGGTACAGCGCTTTGTGGCCCCATGGGGAGCTCCACCGAAGGCCCCAGTGGCGCACCCCGCATGCGTCTCCCACACCAAGTACACCGATCGTGGCCCCATAGGGAGCTCCACCGAAGGTTCCACTGGCGCACCCCGCATGAGTCCCTCCCACCCAATACAGCCTTTCGTGGCCCCATAGGGAGCTCCACCGAAGGTCTCAATTGCGCAGCCCGCATGCGTCTCACTCACCGAGTACTTCGCTTTGTGGCCTTATAGGGAGCTCCGACGAAGGTCCAGTGGCGCAGCCCGCATGCGTCTCCCCCACCAGGTCACCAGTGCAGCGCTTCGTGGCCCCATAGGGAGCTCCACCGAAGGTTCCAGTGGCGCATGCGTCTCCCCCACCCAGTACATTGTTTCGTGGCCCTACAAGGAGAGAGCTCCAGGACGGCCCACGGAGGGCCCAAGACGGCTGCAAATGTGGGCCCCGGGGCCCTCGGGGAGCCCCGCCAAGGAGGCTCCAAGAGGCTCCAGAACAGACCCGGGACGCCCGAAGGTCGCTCCCAGACACCCAACATGGCTTCCAAGGCGGCTTCAGAAGCCCCCAAGACACCCCAAGCGACCCCCAATAGGGCCCCAAAGAGAGCCCCAAGGGGCCAAAATAGCCCCATTCCCTTTCTGTAAAACGTATATGTTTAACATATTGCTTGTTTTCGCTGTCGGTCCGGCCCAGGACGCGCCCCAGAGGGACCCAATATAGCCCCAGAGAGCTCCAGGACGGCCCACGAAAGGCCCAAGACGGCCGCAAATGTGGGCCCCGGGGCCCTCGGGGAGCCCCGGGGCCTCGCAGAAGATCGCCAGAAGGCGCCAAGGAGGCCCCCAGAGGATATATGTGGATGAATACCAGGTCCCCAGCCCGGGGGCCCCGCCCACCTCAAAACCCTTGGGCCCCCCTTTTTCAATACCCCCGCCCTGGCGCCTCCAAGTCAGGAAGCACCCAAGATGTCCATGAGGGCTCCGAGACGCCACAAGATCGGTCCAATACAGTCAAGATAGTCCTTACACGGCCCAAGAGGCTTCCAAGACACCCCAAAAGGCCTCCAAGAGGCTTTTTCAAGAGGGCCACAAGAGGCTAACAATTGTTGTTTTTCAAGGGTTTGGTGGGAGGATGTTTTGTGGTTCTCACCTTTGCGGCTTCCTGGCGCTCCAAGATAGCCAAAGAGATTCCCGAGATCGCCCAAAGACGGCCCAAGAGGCTCCCAAGACGGCCCCAAGACAGCCCAAGAGGGACCCAAGCAGCCCAAGAGGCCTCCAAGACGGTCCAAGATAGCCCCAAGACGGCTCTAAGAAGGGACCCAGACAGGGAATCCGAACGGACTTTTCGAGCCTTCGGCCCCAGAAAGCTCCCAGGAGACTCCAAGAAGCGCCCCGGAGGCCCCCAAGACGCCGCCAGAAGCCCCCGAAGGGCTCCCAAGATGCATGTCACGGGTGCGCGACAAACAGATGCCATGGGCCATGCTGGTGGTCTCTCCCCCTGTGCTGGTCTCGCGGGAGACGCTGCAGGATCCCATGTTCCCTTGGTTCATCGTCAGGCTTCGAGCCTCCATTAGGATACGCTTCTTCGCCGTCTTCGGCCCCGGGTGGGCGCCGTGCCTTGTGGAGGCTATTTTCCACCATCGCGGGCCCCGGCGATGAGGAGGAGGAGGAGGAGGAGGAGGAGGAGGAGGAGGAGGAAGAGAGGAGGAAGAGGAGGACGACGACGACGAGGAGAAGATGGAGTGGTTTTCGGAAGCCTGTTGAGGGTTCGGAAGTCATCGTGGCTTACCACCAGCTCCCAGAGATCGGTCTTGCCTTGCTCTACCCCGATGCCATTGCATTCCCCGTGGGATCTGCTTCTCCCCTGACCGTGGTAGTACAAATATTAGGTGGGAAATTCACAGGTTCATGACGCGTCCTTCAGGATGCACACGATCCCTGCTTCTGACTCGCTTCCTCCTGCTCCCTCCTTCTCCTGCTGCTCCTTCCTCCCACCCTCCCTCCCTCCCGGGGCTGCGTTCCCCCCGCCCCGGCCCCACTGGGGCCGCATTCGCATCTTCTTGGAGTAGTTTTTTGCCCCAGTTTCTGTTTCTCGACGGCCCCTGGGCCCGAAACCGGCTCCCCCAAAATGAAAGGCAGGAGAGGCCCCGAGGGAACGCCGTCGGCGTCGCGTCGGGCCCGCCGCGCCGCCCTCGAGGGCGGGCGCCTCCCGTCCGGGAGGCCGTTGAGGCCCGGGGCAGAGTGCAGGACCCAGTCCCTCTCGCTCGGGGAAGGAGAAGCGACACCACCACCACCACCACCACCACCACCACCACCACCACCACCACCACCACCACCACCACCACCACCACCACCACCACCACCACCACCACCACCACCAGGGGAGCCACCTTCATCGAGAAGGTCCGCGATGCCCCTTCAAGCTGGAGGTTGGGGATGTCTCGAGCGGGGAGGTGTGGCCACACCACCAGGGGGCATCCCCTGGCTCCTCGCCCTGGTGGTGGTGGTGGTGTCGCTTTTCTTTGCTCCCACCTCGCGTCGGGACGAAAAAACACGACGGGAAGCTTTTGCACAAGTTCCAGCCTCCAGGGGGCCCTTGCGGGGCCCCTGGACCGTAAGACACAAGGCGGGATGAACAGGCGGCCCCGGGAAGTCGTCCGGATATGCTGGGCCCACGTTGTGAACACATCCCGGCGTCGAGTGTTTTGCGAGGTGGAGGAGGGGGATGAGGAAGAGGGATAAGGAGGAGGAGGAGGAGGAGGAGGAGGACGAGGAGCAGGCGGAGATGGAGGAAGAGGAGGAGGAAGAAGAGAGGGAGGAAGAGGAAAAGGAGGAGGAGGAGGAGGAGGAGGAGGGAGGCGGGAGGAGGAGGGATATGAGGGGGAGGGAGGATGATGATGAGGATGAGTAGGAGAAGGAGGATGATGAAGATGAGGAGGAGGAGGACAAGGAAGAGGAGGAGGAGGAGGAGGAGGAGGAGGAGGAGGAGGAGGAGGAGGAGGAGGAGGAGGAGGAGGAGGAGGAGAGAGGTAGAGGAGGGGGAAAAGGAGGAGAGGGGGAGGAGGGGGGGGATAATATGGAGGAGGACGGGAGTGGAGAGGAGGGAGGAGGAGGAGGAACAGGAGGACGAGGAGGACGAGGAGGAGGAGGCGGAGGAGGAGAAGGAGGAGGACGACGACGAGTCGGAGGATGCGGAAGGGGAGAGGGGGGGGGGAGGAAAGAGGGGGAGGAGGAGGGGGGGAGGGGGAGGAGGGGAAGGAGAAGGACGGGGGGAGGAGGGGAAGGAGAAGGAGGGGGAGGAGAAGGAGGAGGAGGGGGAGGAGGAGGAGGAGGAGGAGGAGGACAAGGAAGAGGAGGAGGAGGAGGAGGTGGAGGAGGAGGAGGAGGAGGGGGAGGGCGGAGGGGGAGGAGGATGACGGGGAGGAGGTCGGTTTTCTGGGCTAACGCCACATACTTGGACCTGTGCCTGGTCATACCGTGTTCGGAGCTGTTCCGTGGCCACGGCTAGAATCTAAGCGCGCGCGAAGCGCGCGCGTGGTTCTAGCCGCCGCCGATGGGCCTCTGAGGCCTCAGTACTGCCTCAGGACGTCTTCAGGACGGTCCTTCCGGGCCCCAAGAGGGACCCGGAAGGACCTTTGGAGGGCCCCAAAGGTACCCATGAGCTCCAAGAGGGCTCCAAGATGCACCCCAAGCCCTCATATCCGAGGCCCGCCTCGCTTCAAAAGATGGATAAAAACAAAAATAGCTTTGAATAAACAGTACCCAGGGCCCGGCCCCACAGGGTATTCCATGCGCGCCCCCAGAGACGGCCACAGAAGGGCCCCCCAAAGGGCCCTGACAGGCCCCGAAGAGGGCCCAAAACATAGCCCCAGGAGGGGCGGTCCCAAGAGCCCCCCCCAAATTCAAATCCGAGGCTTTGCCCAACAGGGACTTTCAGCTACGGCTGGTTCTTTCACTTCGCGGCCTGGCAAGGGGCGGGCCACGGCGCCGCACCGCCAGCCACCTCCGCGTCGACAGGCGAGGAGGGAGGCTGTTGCGGCGCGGGGTGGGGCGGAGGCCCTCCCCGAAGGGGACGAAAAGGTCGCTCTGGAAGAGCTGATCTGCTAAACTACCTGCGTCCCAGAGGGCCGCTGGGATTTGATTGCGGGAGGGGGGCGGGGGGGGTCTCACGTGTCCACCAGTCTGCGTTGACAAGTGGCAGGAGTATCATTTCAGCGTTTGTCGTGGCGTTCGTGTGGCGGTAGGAGGAATAATCCCTAGCCTGTATATGCAAGCCTAGCATGCTAACCGCATATGGCCATACATTTACACACATATATATATATATATATGTAGCAGTTCGATAGATCGAAATGGGAAATATTTACGGTGAACACCGTGCGGACGAGTCCGCACCAGCTGCGGGGGGTGCGAATACGCATCCGTCATCGCCTCACTCGCTGCTCTTGCCATTTGTTTTTTTTTGCAGCATCTACCACCCCTGTCCCATGCCATCTCCAGGCTTTTTGGCCCAAAAAGAGCTTGGGCCAAGTGCAAGCACATTCACGTTCCGTCTGTAGTACTGTGCGTGTAATACGGTGCACGGATTCGTGCAATTCAACTTTTGCGTTCCGAGAGATTTTTCGACACGTGAGCGTACCGCCGTGGCGGCGATGAACAGTGTGTGATATCTCACGTTGGAAGAAGGGACGGCTCCCAAAGCGGCGGCGTCGTCGGAACTGTCCCAGAAGGTGCCGTCGGAGATACGGTGTCTGATGCAGCCGAAATTTAGACATGGGCGAATCTCGCTCGGGCCCTGGCCTTTTTGCGCCTTGTCGTCCCTCCGTATGCGTATTGGCTCAAGCCGTTTGGATTGACGGTATGTTTGCTCAAGTTGGCTTTTGGGCGTGTTTTGATGGAGACGTGATGTCCTATGTACTGAAGGCCTCTTTGACTTTATCTACCTTGCCTTGGCTGTTGGTGGTTCTTCTGTGGCATACCGCCCATCATCTTCTGCGGCAGCCCGTAGAGGATCTTCTGCGATCTTATGCGGCAGTCTCCTTTACACTTGCCGCACCGTCGACGGGCAGATGCACCAGTGACGCCAGCCTGGTGCACTTCTTCTCGCACCTGTCCTCCCCCGATCCCGAGAGGCAGCGGCTCTTCGCGGAGGCCGGAAGGATAGATATTTTAAATGGGTACGCGTCCAGCTCGATTTGGATCGACAGGGTTCACACCTACACCGAGCTGCCGCCCGAATTGTTGGGCGACGCGCGCTGGGAGAAGCATCTGAATGCTTCGAGGGGCCACGGCTTCTGGTTCTGGAACGTAGGCTTGGCGAATCTCCTCATGAAGTCTGGACGGATCTGTGACCGCGACGTATTGATATATCCGGATTCGGATTTTGCTTGCTTCGCCAAGCCGCAGTTCGACGCTTACATTCAAGGGGTGGTTTCTCTATTGGAAGCGACAAGCGTCGACATGGTTGTGCAGCCCCAGCCGGAGAGATTCATGGAGCGAAAGTGGACGAAGGGTGACGTTTTCCGTCGGTTCGGTACTGATTGGAGGAGCTATGAATTTGGTGGTTCGGACCAAATTACGAGTCAGCGTTTTGCTCTGAGAGTCAACAATCGTACTCGCGAGTTCCTTGATCAATGGGAGACGTTGGCATCTGATTTCCAGCTAATCTCAGATGCAACATCGATATCACCCGACCCGCCAGGTAGCGTTCATTACCGACATGACCAGAGCTTATTTTCGATGCTGGTCAAGGCCACGGTGGCGTCAACGTCTCACATGCGGTTTGGTGTGGCTAATTTGACAATTTCAATGGGCGACGGTTTCGGGCATGTACATCCGCAGTGCCATGACGCTGCCACAGTTGTACGACCATGGCAACTGGAGTTGCAAAATCAAAGTAACAACCCAAAGGCCATGCAAACACGTCCGAATGCTTAATCCCCTGAGCCAAGACTACACAATACTGCCAACTCTCTGGACGGCATACATCTCAACGTCGGCTGCCCAGTTTTGGATCGTGCGCTGCTTAGTATTGCCCGCCATAGAAATCGCGAGGTTCAACTTCGAGACTGTGTTCCCTCGGACTGCAACGAAGGAGCGCCATTCGTGCTGGTGAGCATTGTATCGGACAATGCCTTTCCTGCGTGCCGCCATGTCGGGCGCCCCTATATGCTCGCGCCTGTGCACTTCCGTTTCCCTCCAGTTCCTCCTTCTTCCTCGTCCATATATTCTTACTCCGTGTTTTATATTCCTCGTGGCCTCTCTTGCCTCCAACCTTCTCCCCCTCCTCATGCTCCCGCTCCTGCTGCTCGTCTTCGCCTCTCTCCTCCGCGCCTTCTTCCTGCGCCTTACCATTGTCTTCCGTGTTCCTCCTATCCCTCCATTTCCCTTTCCCCTTTCTTCTTCCAATCCCCATCATCATCCTCTTCCCCCCTTTCCCTTCCTACTGCTGCTGATCCTCCCCCTCCTCCTCGTCATCTAAAGGCTGCCGCCTCTGCCGCCGACCGAAATTGAGCGACGTATGTTTGATTCGTTTGTTGTCGGGGTGCCCTTCCGAGTACGGCAGGAAGGGTTCAGGTGAGACATCCAGGCCTGAGCCTCGCCCCCTGGACTCATGATTCTCTGTTGCGCCTCGGACTCCTCTCTATCGTGTGGCCTTCCGTCACTGTGCCTAGGTTGAAGGTATGAAGCCCATTGGATGTTCGTTGGGATTTCGCGGTGGACCTTTTTTGAGGCCTCTTGGGGGCAGTTTTGCGGCCTCTTGGATGCAGTTTTGATGCCTCTTCGGGGCAGTTTTGCAGCCGCTTGGGGTTGCTGTTGGGTGCCTTGGGGGCCTCTTGGAGCCTCTTGGGGCCTCTTGGGTGCCTCTTGGGGCTCTTGGGGCCCTCTTGGAGGCCTCTTGGGCAGTCCTGGAGTGGTATTGGGGACCTCGTGCCGTCTGGGAGCGTCGGAAAGGAACAGGGCCAGAACGCCAACATGTTTCAAACAACGAAGGCAAGTCAATGATTTTTGCCTCTCAGGGTCCTCTTGGGAGGCATCTTCGAGGCCTCTTGGGGCATCTTGGAGGCCTTTTGGACCATCATGAGGCCATGTAGGGCGCCCTGTTGGCCCGTTTTGGGGCCTCCATTGCTCCGAAGCAGTCACGCGAGAAACCGCGGGAAGCCCCAGGAGAAGATTTCGCGATGTGGGGTCTGGATCTCTGAACGATTCCTCAGGGATGAGGACTGGGATTGAGAGGGTGATGGCAAGGACCTGAGGGCACGCCCACTCCGTGCCCAGAGGCACGGTGGCGGATCTACATAACCATGAGAATATGATGATCATGGTTCTGACGGGTCGCATCGCATTTCCGAGCTCCACTGGGGGAGCCGCTTGGGGGCATTCCAATTTGTTTTTGGTTGGAATCGTGGGAGAATGTCAGTGACTCGGGTTAGCGGTCGGTGGATTGGGCGAGGTGGCAAATATAATCCAGGAGCAGCGATGACCCCATCCCCGAAGGGGAAAAATGGGCTTGGGCAAGGAATCGCGATTGACCATCTCCTGCCCAGGAGGCAGGGGAGGGGTTTTGAGCTAGGAGACCACATGCGAGAAGTTGTCCAGGTTGGTTTCGGCGGCGCCATCATGGTCATTTCGGGCCTTGAGATGCCCCCTGTGAGGCGGTCCTGTCGGTCTCGCCTGAGACATCCCTGCAAGTTTGGGCTTCGAGATGCCGCGCGAAAGATAGTCCAGCCCATTTCGCTTAGACATCCTCGCCGTTGTGGGCTTCGAGGCACGCGAGAGGACCATCCAGCTTCCCCTCACACATTCGCAACTCAGGGCCAATTCATGCCCTCACCTGAGCAGGTCCAGCCAGATTCGCTTCACACTTCGTCACAACTCTGGGTTTGGATATGACCTGGCCTGAGGTCGTCCAGCCATCGTCGCCCGATGCATCCTCGTTGTTCTGGGTTAGTCGATGCTCTTGTCTCACGGTATCCGATACCGTTTCCTCGTTGTTCTGGGTTTGCAGCTGACGTGGACTGATCGTTTCGCTTGAGATCTCCTGGCAACTCTGGGTTCATGTACTTTGCTCCTCATCTCACGTGGTCCCGGTCCTTTTCGCCTGGGACATCGTCGGGATTGTGTTTTCGGGGATGTCCACACTTGAGGTGGTTCAACCAATTTCGCCCGAGATCTCCCCTCTCTGGGCTCAGAGATGTCATGCCAATGCTGTCGCCGATGGCCCATTCGACAATCTAAAGGTTGCCGCCTCTGCCGCCGACCCCTTTTGAGCGATGTCTGTTTGATTCGTTTGCTGTCGGGATGCCTTTCCGAGCACGGCAGGAAAGGTTCAGGCTAGACATCCAGGCCTGGGCCTTGCACCCTGGACTCCTGATTCTCTGTTGCACCTCTGTTGGTCGTGGGTATAAAGCTTATTCGATATTCGTTGGGATTTCGTGGGGGACCCTTAGAGGGCCTCTTGGATGCAGTTTTGATGCCCTTAGGGGGCCTCTCGGGGGCAGTTTGGAGCCTGGTGGGGACGCTGTGGTGGAGTTTTGTTTCGTCCGCTTTTGTTTCGTCCGCTTCTGTTTCGTCCGCTTTTGTTTCGTCCGCTTTTGTTGCATCCGCTTTTATGCCATCCGCTGTGGTTTCGTCCGTATTTTGTTTCGTCCGCTTTTGTTTCATCCGTTTTTGTTTCGTCCGCTTTTGTTTCGTCCGCTTTTGTTTCGTCCGCTTCGTTTTCGTCCGCTTTGTTTTGCGTGATTCGTGTGGAAGCTGGGGGAATGACAACCGGATGAATCTGATCTGGACGTATTAAAACCAGATGAATTCAAACCGGGAGAATCAAAATTGGATGAATTTAAACCGGACGAATTAAAACCAGATGATTTTAAACGGGCGAATCAGACCGGATGAGTTGAAACCGGACGAATTAACACCACCGGATGAATTTAAACGGACGAATTAAAACCGGATGAATTTAAACCGGGCGAATTATAATCGGCTGAATTTCAACGGGGCGAGTTATAATCAGATGAATGTTAACCGGGCGACTTGAAAACGGATGAATTCAAACCAGATGAATGCAATGAGCTCCCAGACCGCCCCAGAGAGCTCCTAGAAGCCCTCGGGGACTTCGACAAGCCCCTCCAAGACAGCCCAGATAGCCCCAACATGGCCTAGGATGGGTTCTAGACCGCAGATACACAGCCCAAAAGGCCTCCAAGGGGCCTCAAGAGAGCTCCGAGAAGCATCCCAGGAGAGCCCGAAGAGGCCCAAATCATTGATTTTCATTGGTTTGGTCAATGTTTTTTCGGTTCGACCTTCCGACGCTCCAAGACGGTCGACGACGCTCCCAAGACCGCCCTGAGATTGCCGAAGAGGCCCCCAAAAAAGCCCCGACACGGCACCAGGGAGTTTGGTGGGGGCGCGGCGGGGGGGGGGGCCGGCGAGGTTTTTGCAGGGTGGGTGGCCCTTCAGAAACTAGGCCCAGGACCCCAGGAGGCTGGCGGTGTCAGGCGCGGTGGGGGCGTGGCGGCGGCGCCGGCGAGGTTTTTGTAGGGTGGGTGGCCCCTACGAACCCAGGCCCAGGACGCCAGGGGGTTCGCGGTGTCATGCGCGGCGGGGGCGTGGCGGGGGGGCGCCAGCGAGGTTTTTGCAGGGCGGGTGGCCCCTCAGAACCCAGGCCCAGGACGCCAGGAAGCTGGCGGCGTCAGGCGAAGTGGGGGCGCGATGGGGAAGGTGCCGATGAGGTTTTTGCATGGTGGGTTGCCGCTAAGAACCTAGCCCCAGGACCCCGGGAGGCTGGCGGTGTCAGGCGCGGCGGGGCTGTGGCGGGGGTCGCCGGCGAGGTCGGCGCAGGGTGTGCCGGCGACGTTTTTGCAGGTGGGTGGCCCATAAAAAACCGAGGCCCAGGACGACAGGGAGGCTTGGCGGTTGTCAGGCGCGGTGGGGGCGGCGCCGGCGATGGTTTGCATGGCGGGTGGCCGCTAAGAAACTAGGCCCAGACGCAGGAGGCTTTTTTTTGCTTTTCTTTATTTTTTTTGTTTGTGTTGATTTTCTTGGCCGCCTGTTCTTTTCTTTTGGGGTTTTTTCTCTTTATGTTCCTTTTTTGCTTGTTTATTTTGGCTTTTTTGGCGGTTTCTGGTTTTGTTTTGGCGGTGTCAGGCGCGGTGGGGGGGGCGCCGGCGAGGTTTTTGCATGGCGGGTGGCCGCTAAGAACCTAGGCCCAGGACGCCAGGAGGCTGGCGGTGGGGGCGCGGTGGCAGGGGTGCCGGCGAGGTTCTTGCAGGGAGGGTGCCCTCAGAACCTAGGTCCAGGATGCCAGGGAGGCTGGCGGTGTCAGGCGCGGTGGGGGCGCGATGGGGGGGGGCGCCGGCAAGGTTTTTGCAGGGCGGGTGGCCCTTGGGAACCTGATTAGAGCCAGGACGCCAGGAGGCTGGCGGTGTCAGGCGCGGTGGGGGCGCCGGGGGTTGAGGCGCCAGCGAGGTTTTTGTAGGGTGGGTGGCCCCTCAGAACCTCGGCCCAGGACGCCGCTGTCGGGGTCAAGAGCGGCGGGGGCGTGGCGGTGAGGGAGCCGGCGAGGTCGGTGCAGGGTGGGTGGCCCCTGAGAACCTAGGGCGAGGACACCAGGAGGCTGGGCGGTGTCAGGCGCGGTGGGGGCGTGGTGTGGGGGGGTGCCAGCGAGGCTTTTTCAGGGTGGGTGGCCCCAGGAGGCTGGCGGTGTCAGGCGCGGCGGGGGCGTGGTGGGGGGGTGCCGGCGAGGTTTCCGCAGGGTGGGTGGTCCTTGAGAACCCAGGCCCAGGACGCCAGAGGGTTGTCGGTTTCAACGGTGATTCTTGACCGTGAGAAAATAAACGTTAACCATGAGGAAACAAAAACAATACGTTAAACAATACGCAAAAACTGCACAAAAAATCAATACGCAAAAAACAATGGCAAAATGTGGGATGGAACCGCATGCGGGCGCTGCCACTGGGGCCTCAGGTGGAGCACCCTGTGGGACCACGTAACGCGCGAGGAGTTCGCCGCAACGGGGGGGAACCGCATGCGAACGCAGCCACTGGGGCCTTCGGTGGAGCTCCCTATGGGGCCACGAAGCGTGTGAGGGGTGTGCCGACATTGCGAGGTGGCGGCATGCGGGCCCTGGCACTGGGGCCTTCGGTGGAGCTCCCTATGGGGCCACGAAGCGTGTGAGGGGTGTACCGAAAGGGCGGTTTGGCGGCACGCGGGCCCTGCCGCTGGGGCCTTCGGTGGAGCTCCCTATGAGGGCACGAAGCGCTGTAA